CACCTACCCTAATATCAAACATTCCTACTGGGGTATATTGTACAAATATATGGCGAATCTTTAATCTAACGGTGCGCTGGTTAATGTAAGGGTGAGGGGATAAGGCATCCCCACCCCGCCCCATGCTTTAGGAACTAGGGTTTAGGATTCAGGGTTTCTAGGACGTATGGCTGTTTGGACGTAGTGTTTTTAGGATTTGCGCTTTAAGATTTTGCCACCTCTTGCCAACTGCCCCGCCCCAGTCTCCCATCATTTTTTGCTTAATTGATTCTTGTGCAACATTGGCAATATTCATTTGGAGCGGGGTGGAAGGGACTCAGAACGCCGGGGAAAACCTTGAGCAAGAACCCCAAAACACCTACTACAGGATCCCGAATAATTGCTAACATCACTTTAAACTATATTTTAACTAGCTTCTACCATACTTATACGGGGAATCTACGACTAGAATATTGAAAGCGATTGTGGCCCATCCTCTCAGTGGGACTATCAGGTACCCTAAACCCTAAACCCTAAACCTTAACCGTACTATCAGGTTCCATAGCAGCAACGCTGATGGCCTCTGCAAAGCGAGCATCTCGACCTGAATGTGGGAAGGTTACCATAGGGGCCTACACATTTTTGCAGACTCAGATGACGAAGAACAAGGAAAACGACATGGACAGCAGGTTTATAGAGGGTGTAGAAAAGTTTTTTTGAGATTCAGGGGATTCAGGGCTGATGGACACATGCGCGATTTTCTTCTACTATCCTACCATAATCCTAAGATGTACGTGTATAGGGTCATGCAAGCTTTTTTTCCCTGGGCTAAGGGCCTTTCTTATCATTCCCTGAATCTGCTTCATATATGCTACCTCATTTATCATTGGAGTACTGCCCCCACCCAGTAGCAATCCATAATAGGGGTCGTATTCGAGGCTTAACATATATTGATGTGAAAAAATATTTTCCAACTGTTGCTGAATGGGGGCAGTACCCAAGGTATAGTGCTCTACACCAATCAAAAATAGGGCCCCAAATTGGCCCCAAACTATCGTGCAACACCACACAGACACCTCCGACATGTTTGTAGACCCTTTACGGGTTTTCATGTCTATTGATTTGAACGTCTAGCTTTTGAAGCAACCCCCCGATAGCAGAAATTCCCTTTCTATGCAAGTGTGTGTATTAATCATTAGGAGGGTTCTGAGGTTTTATGTTTCGGACATCCTGGTAGCTACGATGGGCATTGAAAACCTTGCATGGCCGTAGTACACTATGATACCATGAATCCCCAGGATTAGCGTCCTTACGGTTATGCGTTTTTATGTATCAACCTGATCCTAAATTCTTAACCCCTAAGCCCTTAGCCATTAGGCCCTTCACCCCTAAGCCCTTACCCTCTAAGCACTTAGACCCTTAACGCCTCGGCCCTAAATCCGTAACTCCTTGCAACTTAGAAAGTACAAGGTACAGGGATGTATAGGGTTGAGGGCTTCGGGTTTAGGGATTAAGGTTCATGGCCTTAGTACATACTTATTGTGGAGTTTTTACCTTACTCTTAATTTGCATAACCTTTATACGCCCAGTTAGGGGAATTGTGCAAGAGGGATTACAAAACCCCGATATAAGTCTGAAATAGCAAGTCCATTTGACAGACCCCAATATGCTAAGGCCGTTATCATCGGGATTCGCAATATGTGGGCGTCCATTTTGCGGAACGAACCCAGACCCCTGATTAGTAAACCCCTTCCCTATAGGGGCCTTAATATTCGGATCCCTATTCTAATCCCTATTAAAACCCTAAACCCTGTTTATTAATCGGGAGTCTACATTACCTAACTCGTTGTCCAACAGTTGAAGCTCTCCTCGTAGGCATCCTGATGAACAAAAAATCTTGCTGCGTTGAGGTAAAACCCTAGGGACACCCTATGGCATTGGATAGTAGAGTATAGTAGAACATAATATAATGTAGTATATCATGATAGATTATAATACTGTTCTGACTCAAAGTCCAATGACATGCAAAAATACTCCTCCTGCCTACCTCTCAGAAGCCTGTTTCCGCAAGCCTACAGTGTTTGATCTTTTTTCTGCACGTTCTTGCTGTTTTTTAATATGACTTAGGACCCCTCCTAAGGGTTAACCCGTAGGTGTCTATAATAGGAGTATAAGTCAATCCCAAAGGGTTAAGGGTCTAAGGTCCAAGCTAAGTCCCAAGGAGTTTAGTAGGGAATGAAGGAGCGGACAATCACACCGAAATCATGAGAGTTTGGGAGGTATATGAGCTACAGTCTAAACTCCTAGTATCCCTGTTAATAACCCTCATAATAGGGGACTCCTATGCAACCCCCACTAAGGAGTTTAGACTATAGCCCATATAGGGCAAACTATAAGGATGCATCCTTCCATTCCCTACTAACAACCAGCAAGTTCTCACCTTTCATAAGTTCAGAGGCCGCCGGCAGAGTAGTGAAATGCGTCTGGTTCCCCGCCTGTCATGTCGACAAGGCTGTACCATGGAGGTAGCTCCTAGAATTTCTTGTTCTCTCTCTCTCTCTTTTTTGGTTTAAGGGGCATGGAAAACCCATGGGCTAATCTCAGCGTTCCATTGGGATGAAGCCCCCCCCACCGCAAAGACCGGCTCTGAGCAACTCAGAAGCAGCATACGTCAGCTGATAATGACAATCTGGGAATTTCTTGGGATATGTAGGGGTAAAAAGCCAATTATGGGGGCCCTTGTTATGTGTTAGGCGTTTACAATGGATTGTTTTGAGACATGACCGTATCTCACCCTAAGCTCTCTACCCTCGTTCTTCTGTTTGCCATGACACTTTGCCCCCCCAAACAAACCTAGCTGTTGCTTGGGGCTGATTCTTTACAAACATGAACATTAGGTTATTCCTCCTTGCCGCCACAAGAGTTCTCAGAAGAGGCAATAGGAATCCCAGTCGCCCCCTCCTAAAACACCTTCACCCAGACCCCCTGCGCGGATCTAAAAACTAGAAACCCCTTGAGAGCTCCTCGGAATCCCCCAATAGTAGTACAGATGTAGGAGATTATATGGGGGCGTATTATAGGGGTTATTAAGTGGGATACTAAAACTTAGAGTACGGCTCATATAGAGGGGTTACATAGCCCATTCTGTTGGCTAGCCAAATTTTTCAGGAAGAGTCTTAGGCCGGCTTAGATTACGCTCCCCAAGTAACATGGCAACCCATATAGCCCTCTTTGAAAAAGACCCTAGTGCTTTCAGTACTTTTGGGGGGATTCCATGTGGGAGGCTTCATGAATAAGAACCCAGTGTATGGGCTGTTCTCAAGATTATGGGCCCTGTTGGTTCTACATTAGAGTACGGCACCTAATATTTAGGGGTACCCAAATGGAACCCTAATTTTGGGAACTACCCATATGCTGCCATATGCTGTAGTCCTTACTATAGGTACGTTCAAAAGAGGCCCCATGGATTTTTGGACACCCCCATGCTGCGGGATCTGGGGATGTCAGAATAGGGCCTTGAATAGGGTTTAGGTTCATTCCCACTTCCAGTATCTGTCCTCACCCAGACCCCAGGGAGGTTCTAGAAGGTGGAACCCCGATGTGGTACCCTCCGTGAGTTTAAACTCTAACTTATATGAAGAACCATTGCCCCAAACAACGGTCTGTTTCTGCAAGTGTCGGGCCGAGCCATAAATCCTCCATCATGGACCCTACATGATCCTACTTCAGGGAGTTTTCCTTTGTACCCTTTGGGTTTGTACCCTTGGGTTTGGGTCTCCAAACCATGGAATATGGTCCTTCGTAAGGGTATTCGGGATCCCAACCCAGGGTTACAAACAATAAGGGTACAAATTTGAAGTCTTTGACTACCTGAAACCTTTAACCTTAAACTGCAAGCTCGGAATCCTAAAAAACAAGCCCTAATTCGAGTTTATGCTTTAGAGGGTTTCAGGGCTTGGGGGCTTCGGGCTTGCAACCCAAACCCCAAAATCCCTAAACCGGAAAACAATATATAGGGGTTATGCAAGGATAATGGAAAAGAAAATGGAAACGACTGTTTGGGGTCTAAGTTCTAGGTTTTAGGTAAACCAAATTAGACCCCTGCACCATCCCGAGCTGCAGCCTGCGTTGAGGTAGTCACTCGAGAGCTGCCGCCTGAAAAGAAGGCTACGTGGAAATTTCTCAGAACAAGAGTGTCTGGCAGGGCTGCCAACCCAGGCCCCTGGGCGGATCTAGAGCCCCGTAAGGGTTCCTAGGAATCCCCGCAGCAGTAGCATAGGGTACCATATTGGGGGTTCTATTTTCTAGATCCTCCCAGGGGTCTGCGTAGGGCGTAGGGTTTAGGGGTTGTTGTTGGAGGTGTCAAACCCTAAACCCTAAACTGTCTTACGGCTATGTGGGGATTTCAGGAGATAGTGTTTTCCGTAAAAAGGAATTCCAAGATGTCGATATGAGCTGTAATCTAAACTCCTTCAATGCGGTTAGAGAGGGCATTGCACTGTAGGGGTTACTAAGGGGGATACTAATCCAAACTCCTAGTATCCCCCCTCAATATCCCCTATAAAACTGCCCTATATGATCCCCTATTTAACCCGCGTTGAGGAGTTTAGACTCTAGGTCCTCAACCCTATACGAGTTTAGACTGTAGCTCATCTTGATTTGGGCAAAGGCATTCGGACCTTGGTTGTTGAGACATGGTTGGCTTTTTTCTGTGCTATATGTTTAGTTTAGGGTTTCGGGCTTTTATATCTGTAGGCAGCCAATAGAGCACGGCCGCTGATTTGCCTTGGGCCCGGAAATCCGGCTCTGCCGCGGGTGCGAAGCGACGCGGCAGCCCAAGCGTGGGCAGCAACTTGTGCAATACCGACACTTGTCCTGAGTTGTCGGTCTTTGTTAGAATTTTAGGGATGGTGTTTCCGGCTCCTTCGCGGGCACGGGCGGCAACCGGACTACAAGCCACCGCCCCCGCGCAAACAAAGTAGCACCCACAAGAATAACCCACTCTGGACAACGCGCGGCGCCCTTTTGAGGAAACAGTCCAGCGTCCAGGTTGGTGCCACCGAATTGTCCGCTTTGCACGCGACCAGGACGCGGCGCTTGTGACGGCCTGGGTCGCCCGGCGCCCTGGAAGATCTTGACCGAAGGGACGTCGCTGGAAGGCTTGCTGGGAGAAGAATTGCTGCTGGGAGCTCGCTGCGCAGATTCCAGCCGTTGTTGCAAGTCATCTCGCGCCTGGTACACGTCCTCCAGCTGCCGCGCGGCTTCCTCCACCGCCCGTGTTGCATCCCCCATGCCTGCAGCGTACCGGTTCGCGAGCTGCCCAGCAGCTGCTTCTGCAGATGGTCTGCTGTGGAAACAAATGTGGACGCGTGGCCGTGGCAGGCGGCCAAGAACCGGTGGTGCTCGCACAGCTGGAGCTGCACGGCGTAACAGGTGTACCCGTCAAGCTCTTCCATCTCGAAGACGCCGGTCTCGCACGAAATAGCCACGGCCACGGCAAGCACGTTGGGCTGCTCAGGCTCGTGCGCGGCCCCGTGCATTAAGAGGAGCAGGACCGCCCGCAAAACGTGCAAAGCCCATGAAAAAACACGGCGCGACATCGAGAAGCCGCATCAGGTGGGCCTCTGCTCCAGGTCCAATGGTTGTGGCGTCCCTGACTTCTGTGACGTCCACCCCCTCCCAGATGTCGCGGCCAGCCCTTTGCCAAAAAACGTGGCGGACCACCTTCGCGTCATCAACGACACCTTTGACCCAAAAAGCCTTCATGAAGGGGACGTGATTGAGGAATCACGCGTTCACCAATTGCGTCCGTGCCTCACCTCTTCATCCAGCACTGATGCCAAACTGCCTCACACGGGGATTGCCTGGGTCAGTGTGCTCGGCCAGCCATGCGGGCACGAACAAAGATGAAAGCCCGAGGTGGCACTGCGCGGGCAAGGCTCTAACCCCCAAATCCCGGCAGAGGCAGATGTCCTGAGCCCCACGAGACTGGCGCAACGCCGGCCCATCCACAGGTCTGCGAGCGACCCTGCTTGACAAGAAGAGCTGCGGGAAGGGTTGCCGGGCAAAGATGGCCTTGACTCGGGTGGCCCAGCCCTGCCACAAGTCTGGATCCTCAGCTCCACTTGCAGCGACCGCCTCTTTCAGCGAGGGCGCGAGGATGGTGTCCCATGTCTCCACCTTGCTCGCGTAGCGGAAGGCGCACAGCACGACGAGGGTTTGCCCTGGCGTCAGCCCGAGGTCGTAGCAGCATGGAACCACATGGGGAAGCCACGTGCTGCGACCCGGCGTGTTGGCTCGGCAGGAGGCTCCGCCAAGAAACCTGAAAACCAAGCAGGGTGCAAACACTTGCAAACCGAAGCCCGCTCAAGGAGGAGATTGCATGAGAACTTAGGTCAGCGCTGTCCGACGTGAGAAGGAATGAAGATCCCAAAGGAGATGCCTGCAAGAGAACCTCGGCCTGAAAAGGCTACTGGTAGCCTGAGAATCTGCAGACACCAGGGTCTACCGCAGGACTGACAGTCACCAGACACCAACAAACTACAGCACGCGCATTATGAATGAAAAAAACAAGCACAAGCAACATCACTGAATCACAGTAGAATCGCTAGTGGCTCCACGCAAGCCCTGGCCAAAACTCCTATGTGCACATGCACCTGTTTGCGCACACAGCGGATCCTGCCTTGAAGACGCGGATGATGCGGAAGTTGATGGTTGCACCCCTTCCCACATGTGCGTGCTGTTGCAAATGCTGCAAGGAGTGGCAGACTCTACGCATGATGGCAAAAGAAGCAAAAGATGCTGCAAGCACTGGTTGTAAGGTCACGGCGATCACATCCAGACAGTTCCAGGCCCAGACGGGCTCAATGAAGTAAGCTTTTGGCCCTGCGGCGGTGATGTCTCATGCTTCTCATGCGGGGCTGGAAAGCAGCTCCCTCCTGGCTTTTGCCCTGCCCGTCGATGCGAAGGGTGCACCATTCCCAATTGCATACCCAGTATGACAGAGTTCGAAAGGATGACAACAGCAAGGAAGATGTACAAACAAGTGTTGTCTGCAATGAGCTTCACTTGCTCCTGGACCTGTTCGCAGAATATGCCTGGGCACTGTGGAGCTGTTTCAATCACAGCCGGAAAATGGCAATCAACAGGTTCAACTTCTGCTCAGAATGCAAATTTTGCACGTCGTTCCTGCTACAAGGCCGCGCAATCGGGTCAGCTCCGTGGGACTGTCGTCCATTGACAACATTTGATTGAAATACTCCTCCAGTCAATCAAGGCATCGGCAATCCCAAAACCACACGAGACGTTAGTTCAGCTTCAAGGCCTCATCTGTGGCAGAGATCGCTCAGGCGGCTTGTGCAACGTTGCAAAGAGGGAAGAAGGCAGTACCAATGAAAGCGTCTCATGTGAAACGGGACTCCTTGGCAAGCTGGTAGATCAACGTCCTCTTGAGCGGGGGCTTGAAAATGCTCGCTGCGGCCTTGCATCCGCACGCAACTGTTCTTCCAACAAGCTTTGCATGGAATCCAAAGATTATGATAAATACTTCACAGAAGCCTCCGCGGGGAGCGGCGCCTTGGCTTGCCTAGGCTTGTGGACTTGGTGGACTCCGAGTCTGCTGTGAGCTTAGGCGCATGTGAGCTCACAGGCGGCACGTCCATGGACAGTGGCTGCCTGAGTAAGGCTACAAAGCTGTTGACGCCTTTCTGTTCCCACGCCTTTCCGTTCCCACTCCGCCACCAGCCAGCTCTCACAATCTACAGTTGACACAAACTGGCGGGAACTGCTGGAAAAACCTGAAACGCAATGACCTTTCTGCAAACAAGTCTGTGAAGCTGCAAACCTGCAATCTTTCCACGCCTTTCCGCTTCCACTTCACCAGCACCCAACTTTCACAATCTAGACCCAAAGGGGCGGGAATTGCTGGAAAATGTATGAAACGCAGTGGCCTTTTTGCCACTAATTCTGTGAAGCTGCACACCTGCAATCTTCCCACGCCTTTTTGTTCCCACTCCGCCACCACCCAGCTTTCACAATCTACAGTAGACACAAACGGACGGGAACTGCTGGAAAAACATGAATACCACTGGCCTTTTCGCAGCCAATTCTGAGCAAGTCCGGCGGCAGACCTGCAAGTTTGAGACCGACAGCCTCAATAGCCTCCGAGACCTTTCCGCTCCCACTCTGCCACCGCCCAGCTCTCACAGTCTCGACACACAGAACCAGGAACTACTGGAATAAACACAACATGAAGCACAGCCGCCGCTTCGCAATCAGTTTCTTTTGATGTCGGGCGACCAGCCTGTAAGTATGACGCCAACAGACTCCCACCTTTCTCGACACAACGAGTACCCAAAAAGGGATCAATGATCTGGACCCATTTCCATTTCTCGCTGTGAGCGTCTCAGAAAGTGAATCTCGCATAATATTAAAATTATCTTCGATTCCTGTACCTGTCCTCTCTACGACGCTGCTAGTAAGCTTTCCCTAAGGTAACATTCATCCTCAGCATCAGCTTTCAACCAATTCTGCTGTTTGGTTTCCAGTTCCTCTCACTTCGTGGCTTCATTCATTACCTACCACTCCCATCTTCTTGATGTGAGCCTGTTCATGGGGCTTCTGCCTCAAGACTACATGGAGTTGCTTGCATCACTGTTCAGGGCTTAGGGCTTAGTATTTTTCCGGGCTTAGTGCATTCTTTCAAAATGGATTTGCATCTGCTGTGCTGAACCTCCCGATGTCAGCATAACATGCTGGAGCTCTACGAGCTGAACCTCTAAAACCCTGAACCCCAAACCCTAAACACTAAACCTTAAACCCTAAACCCTCAACCTTACACCCTAAACCTTAAACCACCCCTCCTCCTCCCGCAAAGCCTCCAAGAACCCCTTAAACCCTCCTAGCTTCCCAACCCAAAACCCCAAAACCCTGAAATCCCTGTCCCCTTAGCAGGCTCAACTACTATGTCCCCCCCAAAACCCTAAACGCCAATTCCTGAAAGCCTTCACACTTTTTTGCACCCCAGAAGTTAGGAATGTCTGAAAAGCTTACACCCTAAATGAGCTACAGTCTAGACTCCTTAAAGGGGGGGCTATACAGGGGAGTATTAAAGGCTTATCTTGGAGTTCAGACTTTCGCTCAAATGCTAAACAACCTCAACAAATTATTCATGCTTAGTTGCAAATACGGATATGGGTCCCTGTGGTCATCCCATACCTAAAGTGGTTGCTGTACCGCATTCCCCATTGCCAGCTAAGCATGAGAAAGCAATCCGAAGCCCCAAACTCAGTAGATAAGGGGTTGTACCCCTACTCTTTTCCCTGTCTAACCCTAAACCCTAAAACCTAAACCCTAAAACCCCCAAAACCCAAATCCAATGAGAAACATCGATCTGGGGCTCGGGACACTAAGTCCCATTTCTCTGCCTGTCCAGGCTCAACGGGTCTTTCTAAAGCTGAGAGTATCTTTTGGGCAGCGCAAAAATGTCAGCCACAATATGTATGTATATATATATATATGTATGTATGTATGTATGTATGTATGTATATATTATATGTATATCTTTATGTGTATATATATATATGTATCTCTCTCTCTCTCTCTCTCTCTCTGTAGAGGTATATTACAGAGAATATACCAACATACATTCGGATCTGCCACCGTGCAAGTCACCAACAGTTGCTCGCAAAGCCTTATGCGCCCACAGTTACCCTGCGCAGGAGACTGTTAGGGTACAGGGGCTGAGCGTGACCCACCCGTGCAATAAAATTGTCTGGACAAGACTTATGGGTTACTATGCCCCACCCCAGCACAAGGCCCCTGACGAAATTCAGGCCTTGCTAGGGATTCTTGGGCCTTCTTCTCATTTCTATAATAATGTTACTATTGCTGTTACTATTCTTTGTGACTTCTTGTATCAATTAGTGAATTTGATTCTTAGGCCTTCTTAGTTTGCGGGGGGTCCATATTTGTGGGGCCCTGGTTGCCCTATCGAAACCTACGCTTTGCAAGACGATGCTGATGACGGAGGAAATCCCATGCCAGATTTGAACCCCAGACAACAAAAGCTGAGGGTGTTGTAAGATTTCTGCCGCCGAGCGCAGTCGAAACAGCTGCCCAAACTAGAGTGACTGTCTTTCCCACGGACTCCTCTGGGAGGTTTTTGGCCACTCAGCGATTTGAGTTGCTCTTGCAGATCTATGATGTGGGTCCTCTTCCCAAACCCGCAACCCTGAACCCATAAAAGCCTCCCTGTAGACACTTTGTTTGGGGCCATGAAGAGAATTCCCGAAGAGCACTCCCCAACAGCAGGAAGTGCTGCATTTCAGGATGAGATCCCTACTTGCTTTTGGGTTTAGTGATTAGGGTACTTAGACCTCCCAATGCTCGTAAGAATCAGCTTCATACCCTCAAAATACGGACGTGTCTACATACAGAGACCGTCCTTATGTGAGCTACAGTCTAAACTCCTAGCACCCCCCATAATAACCCCTATAGCAGTCCCCTAAATAAACCCCCT